GTCTTTTGTTTATACTTTTTATTTTTAATTCTAAAAGTGGAAACTTGTAAATGGCTTAATAGTATATTATTATATCTTTTATTTAATTATAAGAAATTGCTGTAAGTTTTCCGAATAAAATAAAATAAATAAATAAATAAAATATGCCAGCGCAACTTGTCTATCTCTTCTTCCAGCTCCACGATCTTCTCGTCAGTCCTCAGGGTGCGTGCGTTGTACGTTGCCAGGTCGAGTCGTCTAAGGTGGCAACCGAACCTCCACCGGAGATTCTTAGCACCCCCTGCCCCGCCGTTACCATGGTCGCCACCGTAGCCAGGAATAGCGGGGCCGCCGGGGACTGGGGGCCGTTTCTTTGTTACTGTCATTCATAGGGGGGTATTTGCCATAGTTGCCACGCTTGGCGAGCGGGTTGGCAACCGCAGTTTTTTTTTTATTGTTAGTTTGTTGTTATCAAGAAGATGCTGCTGCCCATCTCCTGCCTGTTTCCCTTTGTCGCCTTTTACGACACCCACGGGAGGATATGGGGTAGTGGATATTCTTGACCGCCACTACACGGCAATTTTATTATTACGTACAAAAAATATTTTTACGTATTACGGACGGGCGTGATTGTAGATACAAATTAAACCAATCAAACCAACGCTTCCTGCTACCAGAATTGTTTAATTTTTATCAAACACTATGGTCGGGATCGACTGGGGAATCGAACCCGGAACCGCGCTCTGCTAGCAGTTTGTTACGGCCTACGGCTGCTCCCTTAAAGGATCCAATCCTCTGGGGCCCATGAGCAGAAGACTTCCCGAGCAGACGTAGGTCGGGCCTCAATGTAGCCACGTGGAATCTCTCTAATTACACTAAATATATGGGGGAGCGTTCTATACTACGGCCAGTCAACCGGCAGAGGGATTAGGCGAAGATTACTTACCTATATCCAAGGCGACTGGTCCCTCCGGAGTCGGTCAGGTCGCATGTGGTTGTGTAGTGCAAGGGAAATAAAGTGATGTGATGTGTATCTGGGTGTGACTGATGGTGATTTAACGTAGACCTTGACCGTCGGCAGCAGCCCGAGCGTCGACACCGCTCCAACTTGAGGGGGCATTTCGAGGTTGTCCACAGTCACTTTCCTCTTTCGTCACGATGACAGTCAAGTAACTCTATCGTACGATTAACTAACTTACAGAGGCCACTAACTATCGCTGGGTATAAGGTTAACTCACAAAACGCACACGGAGTTTACAGATCAAAGGTCACTACCGTTTCGCGTAGCAACAGTTAGTTCTAGAATATTGCCGAATGCACTTATACAGATTTTGAGTCGGACCCAATAAGTCCCTGGGAAGCTCTCCAGCTAGGAATACGCGTCACAAATCCTAGACCGTATATTTACGGGCCGCTCCTAATTATTCCGAGTTCCCTATCAAAATTGACCGCGTGCTCACGTCAGCACCGCTTAAAGATTACTGACTGCCCTTGGGCGTTTTTCGCACGACCGAAAGTCAAACCGGTATGAATGCACCGCGCCGAGCGCCCTCTCGCGTCAATCCTTGAAAGTGTTTGGCGCGAACACCTACATTGCATATTCTTTCACAGTATATCTCATCTGGCCGTTTCTGGACCCATAAGGATTTTCCCTGCTTGTACAAAAGTTTTTCTTCAGCTTCCTCATCCAATCTTTCAATGTGAAATAAAACCACTCTTTAATGTTCTTTACGAGGCAATTGTTTACCAACTTGACATCCACCCAGATCTAGGTATAGAAAAGGATTCTCCAATAGCAAATTTAAAATTAAAAGAAATTATAGAAAACATCTTTAAAGATTAGCTCATCGTGTACACAGATGCTTCCAAACAGTCTGATCAAGATTATAGTGCAGCTGCTGTTTGGATTCCTAAGTTCAAAATCATTCTTAACTTGAAATGCCCCTCACTATCGGATGATAGTGAAGGGTATTTCATTCAAAGTGGAGACTTTCACTGGTGAAGCAACTGCAATCAGTGCAGCTTTGTTATATATGGAGCCACATAATCTTAACAAAACAGTTATTTTCACAGATTCAAAAAGTTGCTTGTTAGCTATTTTGTCCAATCAATCCCATAACAAACATAAATTGCCACTAATTCTCAAAATAAAAAATACCCTGTTCATATGCCATCTTAAAGGAATCCATGTTTCAGTAACCTGGATCCAGGCCACAGTGGTATCTATGGAAACGAATCAGCTGATGTACACGCTAAAAATGCAATTGCTAATGGCATTCTACAAAATTTATTATACTCACATGACCTAATTTTGCTAGTTAAAAGGAAACTGAACGAAAATTGGAATAAATTGTGGGAAGTATCCAAAAATGTTAAGGTTAAGGGTAAGCACTATACTCCCATCCAAGAGGTTATTCCTTCCAAGCTTTAGATTTTTAAATTTAACAAAGCAAATAAACATGCAACCTCAATCATCGGTAGACTGAGAATTGGACATACTTGTACACATGTACATCTGGCCAAAATCAGAGTTAGAAACAGCTCATTGTGTGAATGTGTCTTAGATGGAGATTCCACAAACCATATTTTTTTCAACTTTCCCAAACTATCCTCCTCCCTTTATAATTACCTTCCTCCTTATATTCCTCGACCTATATATAGATTATAATTCTCTTTTAACATATACAAGTACTCCTTTTGTGTATATTTTATGTGATTTTATTAATACTAATAACATGAAACTTTAAATCCTTGTCACTTTTAACATATTATAATAAGATTCTAATACATGTGTTTGTCATTTGGTCTAGGTAATTCAACAGATAGATTTGCCAAAATTTTAGGAGGAAAAATAAATCCATGTATTATTACAGACTCTTATTTTAATTAAATTTATAAGCTTTCATCTTCCACCCAATACGTCATTGGCGAATTTTACCTAACCGCCACAAAATGGAAAAGAAGAAGAATATACCAAAGTCTGTTGTATTGTTTAAATTGTATCACTGTATTTTAAACTATTAAACAAAAAAATTAAACTATTTTGTGTAGTTTGAATATGTTTGATTTTAGTTATATAATAAGAATTATTTTTACTAATAACGAGAGTGTGCGTAAAATGTAAAAGTCGTTACCAAAAGGAAAAAAAATCAGTTCTGTACTTACGAATAAAACCGTAGTTAGTCAACGCAGCTTCGATCTTGGTTTTATATGCGTGGCTTGACAAAATACAAGATTTTATACACTTTTTCACAATTTTGGCAAAATCCTCCGCTTGGCCATTGCTCGTTGGGTGATATACCGGCGAAGTAATATGTGTAATTCCATTACTCGAACAGATAGACTCAAATTCATGTGAACAAAACGCTGTACCATTATCACTCGCAACCGTTTTTGGAACACCAAACCTCGATATGAAATCACATCGCTTCCCTATTACAGCAGTAGATGTTGTAAAATGATTCATATTATACGCCTTGACCTTGACCTTGACTTTACTAAGTGCGTTTACTATCACTAAATATATACAACCATTAATTGAACCTAAAAAGTAGATGTGTTTGCGCTGAAAAGGACAGGAAGGAAACTCCCAGTAAGAGGGAGGGGTGCAGTGGGGAGACGACTACAGATGGACACAGACCTCACATGCGCCTATCATTTTCCCTATAGCTTGGTTGATCCCCGGAAGCTAAAACCTCGAACGCGCTTCTGCATTTGTCTTTACTACACCTAAATGAGAAATATGTAGCTCTTTTAGAATCGGTGTATACAAACTCTCCGGTAAAATGACTTATGACCTCTCATAACACTTCCACTTTCGAAAGACAGCTGATACCTACATAAAAAGAATGGTTTTAATCTTACATAGCTTACTTTCCATGACCAACCGTTAGCTATATAACTAACTACGATTTTTAAAACCTTATCTTTGTTTGTTCCTTCCCGCAACTTATGCAGGGTCACTGGCATACTACCATTGGATACAAAGCAAATATATGTGGCGCAGTCAAAAGTCGGCTCAGCCTCGGCGCACAAGTGTCAAACTGTTAATCATTTAATGGGTTTACCTCGTCCTAATATTGCTTCTTTTCACTTCTCTCCAATAGCGACGGATGAGATCAGGAAGGTAGTATTCTCAATCAAGTCTAATGCTGTAGGTTGTGACAATATCAGTTGCCGTATGATTATTTATATCCTATGGGGACGGGAAAACTCCAGAATCCTCTCTAGTTTCTGGAGGTTTCCCGTCTTTGTGGCGTAAAGCCTTTATTTATTTATTTATTTATACTCTTTATTGCACATAAAACATTACACTACACAGCAAACTTAAATTTATCAACGAATGTACAATTAGGTGGCCTTATCGCTAAACAGCGATCTCTTCCAGGCAAACCTTGGTGAAGGAGATAATTTTCATTTAAATATATAGAAGTGTGCATAAATAGTAGATAAACAAGCATATATTAAAAATAATATTATATATATCTATACACATAAACAAATATATACATACACACATACGTATACACATATACCTACATATACATACATAGAATACATACACTTTTATAAATATTTCTGTAATACATTATAATTATATATCATATACATAAACCTTATCAAGAAAAGTAGATATGACAATAAAATATATTAAGTAGAACACATATTTAAATAATAATCTTTAACCACATTTTTGAAAGACTCAATGCTTTGGCCTTTTTAATTGTTAAAGGAAGCGAGTTCCATAATAGGCTATTTGACTAATTTTGGAAAACCATTTTAAATGATTCTTTATTACGTAATAAGCATACTACATTGATATTTCCGAGAGATCTACTGTATTAACAATAAAAATCAAAGTTAAAGTTTAAATTTCCAAAACCGCGGCAAAAACGCTTATTCTGTAATGGCGCTGGTCATATTCCGTGTGACGTCACACACAAGTAAAAAGGTCAATAACCCTAATAAAACAGTGCAGCTGAAGTGAATTTTATTATTTTTCTTCAAATTTATTCGATAAAATGGTGTATAAATGGTGTGTAGTGCCACAATGTACTAATACGACTATAAGTAGTCCACACAAACTGTTTGTTTCTGTTCCAACGAATCCCAAAAGACGAAAAATGTGGTTACGATTAGCTCGAAGAGACCCAAAGAGCATTTTAGCTCATACCAATGTTTTTATGTGTGAAGATCATTTTAATGTAAGTAATATATAACTTTATATATACTAGACTAGATGGTAGCCTAATATCGGTTTTTGTATAAAGTAATAACATCTTTAATACCCAACCTCCAAATATGGCTTAATCTTACAGCATAAGTTGGAAGGATACTTTTCACCCAAACCCTACAGGGTTCCCTGTAGGGTTTCATATGTTATCTGTTATGTTATTTAGCTTTCTTAATAATTTTCTTATGCTGTCTTGTAATGTTTATTGTCTTGTCAAACATAATATAGATACTTCACTCCTTACATTGGCAATAATGTTGAATTACAGATGGAAAAGGACACAATTAACTACTTGAAGTACAAAATGGGCTTCAGTCAGAAGATACTTTTGGCAGATGAGGCTGTGCCAACTAAATTTCATTGTCAAGAGGATCGTAGAAGTCTGCTACCTGATGCTGGACCTTCTCGAGAAGTTTTCTTTAAAAGGCAAAGAATTGATATTGTCACAGAATGTCTGCGAAGACATAGTACTACAACCCATACAGAAAGCTTACAAAATGATGATATGATACAAGAAATCATTGAGCCTAAAGGTTATGTTATCTATATAATACAAATGTCATAAGATATTTTTTCACATTTAAATGAGTTAAGTTTATGTTATTCACATTTAAATTAAGTAATTAATTTGGTTTTTTGTCTTTTCAGAATTACCAAAAACTCAAGACAAAGAAACAATCACCGACCCTATCATAACTGTAGAAAAAGCTGTTCAAGCAACAAAAAAAGTGAATACGCATTTTAGGAGCAAGGCTGTGCAAACTACATGCCAAAATAAAAGTATTTCTACCTCACCATGGAAAGTTTCTACAATATCTCATTTCACTTCACCAATTAATATTAAACCATGCCATCTTCAACCATTAAAGTCAGAGGTTGTTAAAGCAGTTAAGAGAAATATTTTCCTTGTAGATGAAAAATCTGATAGTGATATTTCTTGTTTTGAAAGTGGTCTTTTATCACCTTTTGGAGCTACATCAGTAAAGGTTACTGACTCTGATAGTAATGTTACAGATACCAATGAGAATATTGAAAAATTACAGTGCCTCAAAAATACTTTGCGTTTAATTGAAAAGAAACCATTGATGTATATTGGTATTTCCAAAGAATGTTATTTTTTAATTGAGTTGTTGCATAGACACACAAATATAAATAGAGAACATATTTTGCTATGCTTGAAAAAAATTAGATTAAACAGCACATTTTCTGAACTCGAGGATAATTTTGGTATATCATTATCTTATGCCAGTAAATTATTTTTAAGAAACTTACCAATAATAAGTAGTTTTTTAAAACCATTCATTGTAAACTTAGACAAAAATTTAATAAAAAGGAATCTTCCTATTGCATTTAGACATAACTATCATAATGTAAGCTGCATCATCGATTGTCTAGAAATTGATATACAAAAACCATCAAAGGCTCTTCATCAGGCTCTGACATGGTCAGAGTACAAAAAGGGGAATACTGTGAAGTATTTAATATCATGCACACCTAATGGTTTGGTTAATTATGTTTCTCAAGGGTTTGGGGGTAGAGCAAGTGATGTTACCATAGTAGAGAACTGTAACTTTCTAGATGGATTACAACAGGGAACTTGCATCTTAGCTGACAGAGGCTTCAAGCACCTTGAACAGATACTTCATGAAAAGGGCATAAAACTATTAAGGCCACCCAGTGTAAATGCTGGTGCAAAGTTATCAAAAACTGAAGTTCGACAAACTAAAATTATCGCTAGCTTGCGAATTCATATTGAAAGGGTAATTAGGCGAGTAAGAGAATTCCATATGCTAAAGCAACATTCAGTGATAAATACTGACATATGTCGTGTACTTGATCATGTCATTATTATTGCATGTGCTCTAATAAATTTGCAGGATTCTCTTATTAAATAATGTGAAATCATAAATAATAAAACAAGAAATACATCATGATTTTTATCGGCTGATATTGAAGCTATATTTGTTTTGCAAAAGAGAGCCATACGGGCGATTTATAACCTAAATTGTAAAGAGTTCCTCAGAGAAAAATTTAAAGAAATAAGCATATTAACTTTGGCATCGCAATATATTTATGAGAATGTAATGTATGTGCATAAAAACATAAATAGCTTTAATAAGAATAAGGATGTGCATACTTTAAATACTAGGAACAAACATAAGCTTGTAATGCCAGTAACTAGACTCCACAGAATCAGTAATTCATTTATGGGGCAATGTATACGCTTTTACAACAAAATCCCAGAACATATTCAAAGTTTGTCAATAAACAAGTTTAAAAGTTTTATTAAAGAAAAACTGTACAAAAAGGGTTATTATAATATCAAGGAATACATGAATGAAAATAACCCCTGGGAATAGGGTGATCGCCAACATGCTGGTTCTATGAAAAATCATTTAAAAATTGTATAAATAAATTATTTTTAAGTGAAATTATGTTTAAAAAAAAAGTCCCGCTGGGTTTCTTGCTGGTTCTTCCCAGGACTGAGGTATTTTCCGAACCAGTGGTAAATAAAAAATTACTTTCAATAAGTATTATGTAATAATCAATATTGAATAAAAAATTATTTTATTCTATTCTTATTCTATTTAATCATTATCACTGAAAAGGAAAAACGGGCCTCCATCGCCCGCCCTGCGGCAGAGATCAACCAATTAGTGTCCTATTCACAGATCCTAATACCACACGACGTTGGGTTCCCTGACCCCTGAGTAGGTGTGCAACTCGGGGCAACATAAAAATTTTCAAATATTTAGCAAAATATAACAATTTTACAAGCTATTTTTAGAGTCATAAATCTTAAATATCTATCACACACATTCAAAACAATGATCTTTATTAATAAGCATGAATATCTTAATACAATTGTTTAATTCAAAAATTAAAACTTTTAAGCAGTATTAAAACTCTTTATTTTTTTTAAAAAATACTAGTAATGCTATTAAACCTTACTAATATTCCCTTTAACCACTTCTGGTAAGCTTAAAATGCTTGTGTTAGAAGTGGTTCACGACAGTAATCGAATGGCGGATTCGAACCCACGACCTTACGAGTTCGCGGTCCACGCCCTGCCATTAGGCTACTGACGCTTCTAAGCTTCTTCTGAAGCTTCTTCTTCTTTATTTCAACTATAATTTTTATTTAATATTATTAATGTATTATAATTTTTATATATTAATATTATTCTAGCCATAACACTTAACACATTTCTTATCTTATTATTCTATACAATAATCCTGTAACATTTATTACAATACTAATTAAATCTCTAATTTATTTAATACATTTACATGTTATTGAAACTTTCATAAAATAATTGTTTCTTTAAATGCAATTATTTTTTTAAAATTTTAGTACATTATTGAGATGCCAGTTCTAATCCCATACAAAATGAACAACCAATTTCTACATGACCCTCAGCATCACGGTAGGTGGCTAGAGTTATCTCTATCTAATATTACAGCTATCTCTGTTCATTTAGCCATTATGTAACTTATCTCTTATCATAAGAACATAACATGTTTTCACTCAAACAAATGTCTTATACAATGCAATTCTTTTATTCGTATTACATACCTGATTACTACATAACGCGTGACTTAAGTTAATTTATAAACACATTTTTGACAAGCGGGGATTTTTATCATTATATTGAATTTATTTACTTTTAACATATATTATTTTTTAATATGAAATACATTTGCTTTTTACATAAATTGTTATTAATTCAAATATGTGGAGTGGATAAAAGTGGAAAAATAATAAACATTAAAGCGTGTCGCCAACAATCACAGACTGGTACCATACAAAATAGGGTAAATATTTGTTTGCCAAAAAGTAGCTAACTTTGGTATTAAGTTATTAACATAATCACTATCATATGTCACTAAAATAATGTCAACATTTTTCGTTTCTTCAAAGTTGCTATCAGCAACACAAAAATAGCTCTTTTTTACCCCTGTTGCATACATTTGCAGATGCACCTGTGCCTTACATTTTTCTGTGATAACACCGTTTTTCAAATAACTGTCTTTTGCTTTTGCCTTGCTAGGGCATTTTATTTCAATAACGGCACCTTTTATTAAACCATCAGGTGATGCCGCAATCATGGGATTCTCTTTGCACACATAAAGCCCACATGGGGTGATTTTTCTTTTCAATATATTACTGACTGTCTTTCGGACAGACAGTTCTAAATTTCTACCTCTTCTCATTGCAGCTGTATCAGGTATTTTTGCCCCCATGATAGAAGCCACCAATGAACCATCTGGTGTATGACAAACACTTACTTCATGTGCCCTTGAAGCTGTGATACGGCCATATCGCATCTCATACCACAAGCTGCTTTTGTTCTGCCTCCTTGTTGCTTCTTCAATGGTACTTATCACAGCTTCAGTAAATGTTGCTTTCATCACGTCAATAAACTTGTCTACATCTGCTTTAATTTCTGGAGATTGGTCCATTACTAAACAGTGCAATGAATACTGCATCACATTACTATGCTTAAAATCATGCTGATATTTTAGCAATTCACAGTTATCAATTTTTCTCTTTTTGGCTTCTGAAATAAATTCAGTATAAAGTGCTGATGAACTCGGTCTGTGAGGTACTTCTTTTTTAGACATCTGCTGCACAGTAATATATTTTAGCGTAGTCCCTACTTTGGACAATGTAGGCTTTTTCCAATAGCACTCTATGGAAGTACATGCAGGTTCATCAGAACGGCGAAGGACCCACATCAAAAAAGCAACTGCATGCTTGCATCCTCCAGCTGAAGCAGCACAGTCGTGGCATTGACAGCTCATAATTTCGCTGTCATTTTCATTAATAATCATCGTCACATTATATGGTTTGGTTCTAACTTTATGCTCTGGGCACATTTTACACTTAACTGTACAAACCCCATGCTCCCGTTGTAGTTGGACATAGCCAATCGCATCGTCTCCATAGGATTCCCTTGCAGACCTGTAAAACAAAAGTAAAGCCCATTACAAAGAGAATTTACAAGAAATTTCTAACTATATCAACATAACCTAAAATGAGATATTACAAAACTTCTGAATGACAATCATATTTATAGGTTTGTAAATAAATAATTCGTACATAGTACTTACACTGCTGTTTTCACATTCTTATGTTCTGCAGCATAGTAATCAGCGTTATTCTTAAAGAAATCTGCAACCATAAATCCGTCTATCTTAGGCAAGTTGCTGTTATCGGCTCGCACAAAATTTGATTCCATTTTGAGATACAAAACGAATATTTATGCCGCTAGTTATCAAATTTATCAGAAATACTAATTCAGAAATAGCTCAAAGATCGAATATAGCACCCAAAAACGTAGAACTCGAACTACAATCACTCAAAGCAGCTATGTTTACTCGCGTGTGACGTCACCAGAGTCGAAACCAATCACAGGGCGTTCTCGTTACAGATAAAATTTAAAAAAAAAATTATGTTTTATTTTCGTTTATTTTGCATAAAATATAAATATCTTAGGTTAAAATAAAGTGAAATATATTTTTTTACCCTATTATCTGATAGGATGACCACAATTTATAGTATATTTTCAATGTTGTCAAATAGCCTATTTGATTGCTTTGACACAAAAGGAGGAATGAAAAAATTTTGAGTTGTGAGCAGGCATACGCAGTAAAAGTTTATCAGCTATTCTGGAATGATCTTTATTTGCGCCCATGAACTCAATTTTTTCTTTAAGATAACTCGGTGTTTTAGGATCAAATAGTACACAGTAAAGTAGAGATAGAATATGAGTATTCCGACGAAGCCTGATAGGGAGCCACTTGAGCTTAATACGGTACTCTGAAACGTGATCATATTTGCGAAGGCGAAATATGAACCTGATAGCGAAATTCTGAAGACGCTCAAGTTTATTTAATTGATCCTCAGTAAGATTGGAGTAGCATGCATCAGCATAATCAAGGATAGGGAGTAACAAAGACTGTGCCAGTAAAATTCTAGTAGGAATGGGAAGCGAGTTACGCAAACGTCTTAAATAAGATGCTGCCGCAAACATCTTTCTGCTGGACTCCTTAATATGCAGGGACCAAGAAAGATTCTGATCAATATATAATCCTAGGTCTTTTACAGATTTACTAAAAGGTATCACAACACCATCAACAACAATAGGTGGAAGGTTATCCTAACAAATTCTCGAGATAAGAGTGCTATGTCCAACAATAATGGCTTGGGTCTTTTTGGGATTTAAATTAAGCCCGAACGACCTGCTCCAATCAAGTATTGCAGCAAGATTCGTATTGGTGTCATTGATGGCATTGGTAAGGTTCTGGAGTGATGTATGGGAGTAAATTTGGAGATCATCTGCATACAAATGGTAGAGAGAAGAAATTCCTGAAGTAATAGAATTAATAAATACAGAAAAAAGGAGAGGAGACAACACGCCACCCTGTGGTACACCAGCAGTTAGTTCACACCACGTAGATGTGGCACCCTCTACCATAACACGCTGCCGGCGGCCACGCAAATAGCTTTGAAACCATTCAATTGCCGCTGGAGATATGTTAATAGAACGTAGCAGACTCAACAATACGTCAAAATCGACGGTGTTAAAAGCGTTACTGAAATCCAGCAACGTAAGAATAGTGAGCTGTTGTTGGTCCATACCCCAGCGAATATCATCAGTGATTTTAAGTAATGCTGTAACAGTACTATGACCAAGTCTGAACCCTGATTGAAAGGAGTCAAGAAGGGAGTTTTTATTTAGGTAGTGGTTAAATTGTGCAAATACCAAACGTTCAAGAACTTTTGAAAAGAATGGAAGAATAGATATAGGTCGATAATCTGAAGGAGAACAGGGGTTCTTCTTTTTAGGAAGAGGAATGATATTAGCTTCCTTCCAGATTCGAGGAAAGGATCCAGAGGATATGGAGTAATTGAAAATATGAGTAAGGATGGGGAGAATAATATCAATCAGGGGGACGATCATTTTACGGCTAATATCATCACATCCGATAGCACTTGACGATATGGACAAAACGTTCTTCTTAACATCACAGTCGAAAAATTGATTGAAGATGAACGGCGAGAAATTAGGAGGTGATGCTTTAGACAGATTGTTTAAAGTATATGATTTTATATTATCATTTAAAAATGAACATGTACATGAGAAATGTTGATTTAGTGATTCAATATCAACGTCTTCATTCGAAATAGTAGATGTTTTAGATTTTCCAACTCCTATTGATCTGAGAAACTTCCAAATTTTTGCAGGGTCTCCGTTTTCGACTGATTTTTGAACATGGCGTTGTTGTGCATCTCTACAAATTGTATTGCAGCGATTCCGTATGCTCCTGTACGTGTCCCTATTGTGGTCCGATTTATCACTGTTATAAATAAGCCTAGCTTTATTTTTCTTATTTAACAGTGATTTAATATCATCTGTAAGCCACGGTGCAGGGGTGTGTTTAATTTTAACTGGTCTGACGGGTGCATGGGTGTCGTAAAGGTTAATTAAGATGTAGTTTAGTGTTTCTACTTTTAGGTCTATAGAGTCAGCAGAGCATACAGCAGACCAGTCAGCATTCCAAGCGTTTGTTATTCCTCTACCCAAGATTTCTAATCCTTCTTTACCTAATCACTTCCGTCCTATATCAATTCTTCCCTTCTTATAAAAGGTACTAGAGGCCTGTGTACATAAACAGCTATCACAGTTTATCTTCTCAAATAGCCTGTTAAGCCCCTTACAGTCTCGCTTCAGGGCAGGCCATAGTACTGTTTCCACGCTCCTCAAAGTCACTGGTGACATTAGGGCTGGCATGGAGGAAACTAAAGTCACTGTGCTGGCTTTGGTTGACTTCTCCAATGCCTTTAATGCCATCAGTCATGACATCCTTCTATCTATCCTTTCCCTTACAATGATCTCAACTGACGCTTTGCACTGGTTCTCATCTTATATTCGAGGCCGTCAACGGTCAGTTCGCACGGACGAGTTTTCGTCCAGTTGGTTTGACTTGAATGCTGGTGTTCCTAAAGGCGGTATTTTATCTCCGTTCTTATTTTCAATATTTATAAATCTCATTACCCCAAATCTTCAGTGTGCGTATTATTTGTATGCTGATGACCTGCAGTTGTACTCACAGGCGAGGGTCGATTGTCTAACAACAGCAATTGACCACAAACTAATAAGAAGTGCTTGCTACATATATATTTATCTATGGTGCTAGCGCACAATTGACTCAGTTAATAGGGACCTAGAGTATTTAAAGAACTGGTCTGACAGACTTGGCCTCAAAGTTAACTCATCCCAATGTCAGGCTATAATAGTAGGTAGCCATCAAATGCACACTATGAGAGCCGTGGTAATTCAGATGGCTAGAGCTCGCTATTAATTTCACCGTACGCGAGCAACCTAGGTTCAATCCCCACCAGCAGCAATGAAATTGTTAATTGCAATTTTAAGTGCTGACTTACCAGGTGCTCGGCGGTGAAGGAAAATATCGTGAGGAAACCTGCATGTCTAAGAAATAAGAAAAAAATATTTCAAAAACATGTGAAGTTCGTCAACACGCATTGGAGTAGCGTGGCGGACACATCCTTGCCCTAAAACCCTCACAGAAATGAGAGGAGGCTTGTGCTTTTTAACTTTTGCACACTATGGCCGTCTATTACTTTCTTATTATTAGTTTGTGATTACATGCGCAAGCATCATATTAGTCTGTGGTGATTAATATCATAAGTCTATGCCATAGAGAGTATGATGAAGAAGAAGACAAACTACAAATCAGACTAGGCTGTGTGATCTTTGCTTTGCTTGGCTTTATTGGTGAATCGTAACAACAACAACAACAAATTCTTTGGTTTCGTTTAGGCTATTTCCACAAACTAATATGAAGGCTATTTTCATGCGTAAGCATTATATCACACAGTACCTTTGTATAAAAACATATTAGTCTGTGGCTATTACGTTTCGGGTGATTTTAGGCGTTTTGGCGGAAACTTGAATGGTGGAGGATTATTGCTCTTGTATGATTGTTTAAATAATGGTTTCAAGTGGATTTTGATATATTTAGATTTAGGTAGAGCCATGCTGCAGCTATATTTCTGGTATAGTTGTAGTACGAATGGGTCGGCTTGACTGGGGAAGGACCACGCTCTCACAGAATACCAGCGTAAAATAGCAGCTTGATGCAGCTGTGTTTCGTATGGTGAGTGTAGAGAACCGGAGAACCTTTTTACTGGAAAGGAGGCATTCCATCTTAGTCCTCACAGGTGACAACGCATCTGCATTTTGATTCGTAATCGAGGATAAATGTAGATGTCTATGGGCCACAGCAACCACTTACCATCAGGTGGACTGTGTTCGTTTGTCACCCTTATCCTATAAAAAAAATATATAAAAGTGGTGCGATTATGTGTATATAGTTTCTGCGCATGTGAACTATTAGTAGAAACGGTGAAATAAGTGCTCTGATGGTGATGTGATTCTCAAGATAAGGTGTCTGTCTGCTCAGGCGCCTTGAGATACCATCGCCAACTGTCAACTGTCTGCTAGCTCAACGTGCAGTCAAAATCTCCCAAGGACTGCACAACCGCGATGTGACGCATCCATTGAGTTATATGTACTACGTAGTAGTACGTAGTACATACATATTGATGAACGCATCAACATTGTGAAGGAGTGTAACAACTATGATGGATAATTATACATTGTAACTTCAGGCTCAGAAGAGCCAGAACTCAGAGTCGTATAGCCAGTTTTGGCCAATAAGGTGATTTCGGGTTTCGGGAGGTTTTCGCGCGCTGCCCTCTGTCAAAATCAAAATGATTTGTCAAAAATCATAATCACAAGCAAATGTTAATGTTTTTTTCATTTATTTATTCCTACAGCACAATAATATTAGTAAGTAAAAAGCATAGATTTTTAATACTTCATAATAAATTAAGTTGATTCACTTTACATTTTAAACTGCATGGTACTTTATTTCCCATGAAACGCAGTGATATATATTAAAATGTTTTCAGTTCCCATTTTTCCTGATAAATAAATACTTAGCTACTAAGTAATTTCTAATAGTAGCAGTAAGAAATAATATTACATTTTGATATTATCCTAAGTTTAATAAACTTTTATTTCCTTAAAAAACTGTTCTTTAACTTTTAGTTACATAAAAAAATACTGGAAAATGCTTGACTTTACTGTCGATTTCGATTCTGTTAGTCCAGATTTATGGATTAGCAAAGAAGAAACTTGTAAGGAAAAATTGTTGAAACTTTCAAACTGGTCCCAGGTAATGTTCTTCCTTTTAATTTAACTACTTTCTGTATTGTTTTCTTTTTTGACCTACAAATAACCTTTCAGATACCTTTATTAAATACAAATGCATCTCACAAATTTTCTGATGGCAAATTAGTTCGTTTTCGTGGTATGGTTCAAGATATGCATAACCCTGAGTTTTATTTTGAAAAATTCGAAGTATTTAATACAACAACTAACGAAGTTAAAATTAAGTCCGGGAAATATTGCGACACTGCTCACATACTGGTATGTGTAAATTTTATTGTTTTTTTTTTCGTTAATTGCATTAACTATAAAGAGAAATACAACCATAAGCAAACAAAAATACAGATGTATATCATCACATATCCAATAATAATTATCTCAGTGTAATCTTTGTAATATTTAAAAATCTGAAAAATAAAGATAAAGAGAGAGTGAAAGGAAAAAAGTATCTGAAGTAGTAGTCTTATTTTGCATAGATTGCCTAATGCATAGAACATAAATGGTGTTATCAATAAGGTTTCTATAATTAAGATGGTTTGATAGTTATTAGAAAATTATTGATTATTGATTACAGTCTTATTTATTAATTAATGACAATCTAAAGTGTACTTAGTTACTATTTTAGAGTGTAATAAGACATTATATTACAAAAAATAAATTGTATACCTTCATATTTTAAACTTCTTTAGAAAACTAATCAATAAGGCTTATATTATAAAATAGAGCAATATATTATAATAAGTAGTAAATAAGTATAGAGTAAGACGAAACAGCAGATAGCTTACTTGTATGACAAATAAATTAATTTAGATTTACATGTTACAGGAAAATGAAAAAATTAACTATACAGAAAATTTGAAAAGTGCACAACGTCAAGCAATGGTTGTAGTTTCTTTACCAGGATTGAGTGACTGGGCACAGCAAATAGAGGAAGACCAGAACTATTTAAAACATTTAGACCAACAACCAAATTCATCAAAAAGACTCAGTTCAAATGCTAATACAAAACTTAAACGAAGTTATGATGAAACTGAGAATGATTCCGAGGTTATGGATATTGCCGATGCTGATCATTTGAATAAAGAACAGAGAACAGCAGAAGTGATGGATAATGGAAAAAATGTAGTATCCAGAGAGCATTTACTCAATTTCCCTTTACCAGATGTTCCCAGTAAATCATGTATTGTTAAGGTAATATTTTTTTTACTTATTTATATTTTCTGCTTCTTACTTCTATAATTGTAGATTTGATGGCTCTATAACGTAGTGGGAATTGGTTGCGGCGCTAAGAGTTGCAGGGACAAATTCCACACAATGCATTTGTATGGCCTACAAATAATTACTCTGGGTTTGGGTATGTGTCCTTATGCAAATTATGTATATTTACTGTCTCCACAGTATGGGAGAAAAAAAAAATCTTACTTTTTATAATGCATTTTCTCCAATATCACCTTTATTTTAGTAAGATCTTTGTAATAATGCTAACAAGCTATGCTTAATCTATTATTAATCAAAATAAAATGGTTGATATTGTTGCTACCATTTCCATTCAGAACTGGGTGGGTCCGGGACATTAAACCCATGAGACACAGATGTTTAGGTTAGAAACTATTCAAAATCTCTTTCTTTTTTTTATTTAACGGCTCCGTGGTGCAGTGGCTTAGCAATGAGTTGTTGCGCTGGGAGCCGCGGGTTCGAATACCACACGGTACAAGCATTTGTATGGCCTACAAATAATTGTTACGGGTCTGGATGTTTGTCCTTGTGCAATTTATGTTTGTAACCTGCCTCCACAACACAGGAGAAAATCTTAATGTGGGGGTAACGTTTTTTAAAAAACAAATAAAAAGAAAAATTTAATATCCCAAATGAAAAGCTTACAAAGAGCAAGATACTGCCTTTTTGTATTCCCTTCCTGCAGTACCGTCTTTACCATAAGGTCACACAGGGCCCGTGCCCAGGGCCCCTATCGTCACAGGGGCCCCGAAAGGCCGATATATTCGCTTATACTATACAATATTTTTTCAATTTTAGGAAAATATAACCTGACAAAATTATTAAATATTTAGTCACTTTCTGGTAACCATGAGCAGTGACAAGTCACAAATTGCTGAGTTTGACAGAAAACGTAGCATTGACAGATTTCTAAGGTAGAAAATATGTATTTCCATGTTTCGCCACCATCTAAATGTTTTTGTCGAGCTGTACAATCGCCTTACTTTAGCCAGGTATTTTTTTAAATTCGGTAATCTATGTATTTATATAATTACAGCTAAATAAATGTGTAATTTTAATCGGACACAAGAATAGGTGTCCGATTATTTATCTTTTTCTAAATATTGAACATTTTAATAATTATTTTGATACAAGAATGTTCCTTTGCTTAATGGTTACCAATAATTGTAATGGAGAGCGATCATTTTCACACCTAAAGAGAATAAATAATTTTAAATTAAAAATTTTGTACAACCGACTTCAATATAAATTATTAAGAATAACTAAACACGATTTGTCAGACCTTGATCAAATTTTTATAGGACCACATGAGAAACGCCAACTTTCAATTAAAAAAAGAATCATCGAAATCGGTTCACCCAGAAAAAAGTTATGAGATAACACACAAAAAAAAACATGTGTTCGATTTGAGTACCTCCTCCTTTTTGAAGTTGATAGAAATTAGAAGATTTTGCAGTACCGAAATCCAAATGAAACCACTGTCGTAATGATAACCAATTCGAACCACCAACATACTTATCTAATTAATAACATATTATTTGATTTTTACCAATTAACTACTTATAATAAATGTAAGATCAGCAGAAAATGTTTTTGTCATTCACTTTTTTTTTTACTTTCCAACTGGGCCCCAAATACTTGTGTGCCCAAATACTTGTGGGCCTTGTAGGCCCGGTATGGCCTAAGACGGCGTTGCCTTCCTGTATACTATTCAATAAATATGCAGATTTAGAAAAATATTTGTAAGCTATATTCATACTTCATAATTCATTTATTGCAAAAATTATTAATATTTAAACTTAAATTTATAAAAATGAATATAAATAACATTAATATTATTTCAAACAATTAAAAAATATTTTTTTATAAAACGAAGGAATTATAAAAAATATTATGATTAAAAATATTTATCATCTATAATAAAGTAAATCTTTTAAAATAATCATTACCATGTGTCCGAATTATAGAAACTAAAATTGATAACCCTAATGCACCTTCACAAACAGTAAATAATAAATAAATTATTATTATTAAAAATACTCTTAATACAATAAATGATAATCTTAATAAAACAATTAATAAATGTTTATGTTTAGAAATAAAAATTATCAATTCATTCAATTTCGATTCAAACTCGCAATCGAATGCTCAGCCACTGCACTACCACGTCGTCTCTAGACTAGTCAGAATGATAGTGATAGGTTCTTTAGAAAAAAAAAATTCACTCGACACCATATTGATATAAAAAAAAATATTATATACTTTGTGGGGTGTGGTAGTGGGGTAAAAGAATATCTGTTCGGCCACTATAAGAAAGTCATAATAAACTTATTAACTATTATCATAATGTTTGACACATATTATTGCACACACTGGTGATGGAGAGTATTGTCAAATACATTGAGAAATAAGTTTTACTGGCCAATTAAAGAGGAAAGAATTAGATTTTTCTCATCTAATAATAGTTACATTGTTTAATCCAGCAAAGATCAGAGATGAGTAATACAAGGAAACATTATACAGCTTATAACTTTTAGTGTTGAGTTGACACCACCTAGCTGGTTGTTGGAAAAATCTACTACAAGAAATGGTACAATAATATGACTTAATAATTACTTGACCTATGGAACTGGAGTTATAGACATTTCCTAATATGGATATGGAGCAACTATGGTGCAAGTCATCTAATTCTGTGTATGCTGATCCATCTACCAACTATTGCAATTCTAGCAAATCTTCAAAACTTGGTAGTTTAGCTTGTCACTCACTATGGACTGTTTTCGTTATAACATGAATAGGCTTTTGTTATGCTAAAACAGTGTGATTTATTATCTTACCCCACCTATACACCATCGGCCATGATTGACAACTACAGAATGGGGCATGATTGTCACAATCATGGCATGGCTGCCAACACAATTGTGCATCCTACATATTTGTATTGTCATCTGTCTAAGATGGACATTGAAACAGTAGCAGCTGCCGCTATTTATTTTATTAGTTTAAAAGTGGTGAAAAAAAGGAAGTTGTTCTATTTTTACTTGTTATATTTCGGTGTATGTTAACTATACACCGAAATAGAACAAGGTAAGTTTATAGAGCATTGGCGTTCGGCGATCATGTAGACGCGCGCAGTTCATTTGATGTTTGTCCGAAAAACCGACACAGCGGCCATTAGGTACGCTCGATCATTACCACGTTCGTCCAGGAACGACTTTCCATTGACATCCGTCGAGTTGGGGGTTGTTATTATTTTTACAGGAAGGTTACATTATTATAAACACACGCAAAGTTTCAACATGCGGAAACGCGTACTTTTTGAGAAAAAAATTATTGAAAATCAATTATTTTTGCAATATTTATGCCACTCCCCATTGACGTATTTGTTCCAGCTACAAATAATAATTACTAAAAACTACTAAAAAAAACTACAAATAATTGTTCCGGCTCTGGATGTTTATCCTTGTGCAAGTTATGTTTGTAAACTGCCCCCACGATACAGAAGAAAATCCTAGTGTGGTTACGTATTTAAAATAAACAATAATATTTTTTTCAGGTATATGATGAATCTGAAAATCTCAAAATAAATGACATGATTGAAGTAGTGGGCTTCCTTTCTGTTGATCCTATACTCTCTGGAGAGTTCCAGCCGGAAAAGAACTCTTTCTTGGAACCGGAGGGTGATACAGATGTAGAAATTATAACACATAACCCACCACCCAGTCTGGTGCCGAGGCTTCATGCTGTCTATGTAAAGAAACTAGATCACTGCAATCCTTTAGTAGCCAATTTTGATCAAGGTAAGCATACTAGAACCATGTGTAATAAATACTAATTGTAAGTCAACTCGGCGCTAGATGGAGCGACGAAGGGGCGCGGTATAAAGGAGAAAGGAGTCGCCCCTTCCTGCCTGCAACGTATGCGGCAGTACTGGTCGACTTCGCTTGCGTAACGATACTCCCATTTAGGAGTGTCATGTACATGAAATCAGTTGCAAGCATTTCTTGTTCACCCGACAACATAATATTATTTGGTATTATTTTGAAATATTCGGAAAGACATTTTAAAAATTTAATTGTAATAAGCATACTTTACATAACGATTTATTAATTATGTCATTAAATTCAAAAAGAAAAGACAATGAAAAAAACCCAATAATAAATGTCGTAAATATTTGTCAATTGTACATCTGTAAAGAGAAGATTGAATAAATAAACAGAACCAACGGTAATTTTAACCTGTTTTATTTATTCTACTTAAATATTGGATAGGGGTTGCTATCCCATATTTTAAGGGGAATACCTAAGATACTGCTATATAGGTAAAATATAGTAAAATTAGCACATTCATTTGTTTCCATCACAACAAATCGGTGAAGCTGCAAAACGCAACTAGTTTTGTAGTGTAGTAATTAATTTGTATCTTTGTATAGAAAAATAAATTGTTATGAGGAATACTGATAAAATATAATGTTATGATATTATTATTTAAGGAAATGTTTTTGTGACAACCCTTGCATATTTTTAGCGACTAGACGTCGAGACAGTCTTGTAGGTATTTTGCGGTATAACAAAGGAGTTGACCCCCTATTAGTATTTATTACACATATGCTAGACCTGTGGTAGCTTAAAGGCTAAGCTTTTGGTGTAAATTTCATACTATGAGAGCAACCTGGGTTCAATCCCCACCAGCACCAATGAAATTTTTAATTGCAATTTAAGTGCTGATTTACTATAAAATCTGTTGCTTACTAAATGCTTAAATTTAATGAATTTATTTTTCAGCGGCTGTGCTAAAAGAAGCAAATTCAGCAAGGGAACACCTTTTAAAAGCATTAACAGAGTTACTTCTTGGTGATCAACTAGCTGCTGAATATTTAATATGCCATCTCATTGCATGTGTGTGAGTCATAAATTTTATATATCTATAATAATTTTGGTTTTGTTGTTTGTATAATATGTGAGTAAAGTTTTGGGAGTCAGTAAGAAAACTAAAGTTAAAAGGGAGATATTTTTTTATAAAAAGAACGATTGTTTACTTGATGATAAATGGATGCTGTAGCCTATAGACACTTTCATACTCGTATATTGTCAAATAAAAATTTTAAATTTTTGTATGACAATATATGAAATGTGGATGCATTCTTAGAGACCCATATTAGTACTAATGAGGAATTGCATCATCATTCTCAGCTGTCTCTGGGCCAAAGCATCTACATACAATCAGGGGGATTGTGTGCTTGTTTGCCTAGTGATGCAACAGACCCCTGCTTCTAATTCCGCAACTGCAGAAGTTCTGCACGCTTCTTGACTTCTGTTTCCGCAAATTTTATAACGGAAATTTGATCGGAACTTTGATGACGGCATCACCCTTAGACCTTCTCTCAAACTTCTGACGACCTTCCCTCAAAAAGTTCCGTGCTCAAATTGAGAATGAAGTCCAACCTAGGTCATCATCAATGATGAATTCATTTTACGAATGTTGGAATCCATGTTGAATATGAATTAAGACAAGGGAGACTCTACTACAAATAACGATATTGACAATCTAATTTTGAAGACAATTCACACCTTCAGAAGTACATATGTGGTGAAAATGAAATGGAAATGACACAAACATCGTAATCTTTTGTTGTTAGTACGCCAATATTTATCAGCTCCTCCAAGCAGCGTCACCAATGAGCAAGTGCATAAAAACATAAATAGCTTTAATAAGAATGTGCATACTTTAAATACTAGGAACAAACATAAGCTTGTAATGCCAGTTACTAGACTCCACAGAATCAGTAATTCATTTATGGGGCAATGTATACGCTTTTACAACAAAATCCCAGAACATTCAAAGTTTGTCAATAAACAAGTTTAAAAGTTTTCTTAAAGAAAAACTGTACAAAAAGGGTTATTATAATATCAAGTACATGAATGAAAATAACCTCTGGGAATAGGGTGATCGCCACCATGCTGGTTCTATGAAATATCATTTAAAAATTGTATAATCAAAATTATTGTTAAGTGAAATTATGTTTAAAAAAAAGTCCCACTGGGTTTCTTGCTTGTTCTTCCCAGGACTGAGGTATTTTCCGAACCAGTGGTAAATAAAAAATGACTTTCAATAAGTATTATGTAATAATAAATATTGAATAAAAAATTATTCTATTCTATTCTAATTATTTAGCAGAGCTGGTCTTACATATGAAGAACACTCGAACAGATTGCTTACTTACTGCTACTTAATTTTGAATATTAATTTAATAAAAAAATGAAATGAAAATATATAATTTGTAAAAAAATTGTACTTTTTTATAGTATTTACAGTTCCGTTTCCGCTTCTGTTTTTGTTATGACGCTTCCGTTGCATCACTATGTTTGCCATTTGCATTTGCAAGTTGCAATTACAAACAATATAAAATATAAATTTACAGATACCTCCGTCAAGATACTCTTGCCCTCGGCCAATTCTGTCTGAATCTCTCAAATCTGCCAACGAAAAAATATCCGAACTATGCTAAGCAGCTATATGACATCATCAAGCAGTTTGTTACAAAAAGTTACTATCTCCCACTCACAATAGAGAATTTAAATACGATGGCACTTCTACCAAAGTAAGTAATGTATATGTTGTCGATGTATTTTACGCTTTAAAGATTATAAAGAGAGACTAAGGTAAAAAGTACCAACAAATAAATCTTACATATAAAAGAAGAGGTATGTTTAGTCCTGTAGTGCATTATTTTTAACTAAAAAGGAGGAGGTACCCATTTCGACTGTATTTTTCTTGTGTTAACTCGGAATTTTTTTCTAGGTGAACCGATTTTGATTATTCTTTTTTTATTTGAAAGCTGGTGATTCTCATGTGGTCCGAAATAATTTTGATCAAGATCTGACCAGTAGTTTTTGTGTTATACTTAATAATGCGTATTTAATTTACTCTGATTACATTGATAATGTTCTCATTTTATTTATATTGAGGTCGGTTGTACAAAATTTTTAATTTTACCATTTATATAGCAGTTAAAACATGCAAATAAACTTTCAGGAAAGACTATGAATGTAATAGATTAACAAGTGGAATTCTACAATTAAGCAAACACACACATTTGATATTAGATGAAACAAAAATGGAACAAGGACGCTTGGACTCGACTGGTGTTAGCAATTTGACCGCATTAGGTAATATGATTACTACCCAGAAAGTTGAATATGACTTCAAATATTACAAGATGGAGTTTGATTCGGATATACCAGTGCTGTTACTCTCTGAAGGAAAATCTTTATTGCCGGTGAGTTTGTTATGATAAAAGTTATTATCCTCATAAACTTTTTACGTGGTAGAGCCATGCTGCAGCTATATTGTGGTTGCAGCACAAATGGGTCGGCTCAACCGGGGTAGGACCACGCTCTCACAGAATACCAGTGTAAAATAGTAGCTTAATGTTGCTATGTTTCGTATGGTGAGTATAGAGAACCGGAGACCCTTTTCACTGGAAACAAGGTATTCCATTTTAGTCCTCAGGGGTGACAACGCATCTGCATTTTGATTCTTAATTGAGGATAAATGTAGCTGTCTATGGTCTATGGGCCACAGCATTCACTTACCCTCAGGTGGACTATGTGCTCGTTTTCACCCTTATTCTATAAAAAAAATAATGTTCACAAAAATCTTTATAGTATATTGATGTGTCACAAAGTTTCTGTTAAATTTTGACGATAGCTGAATCCTCGACAACGATAATATTCCAAAACGGCCGAAATAATAATAGGATACCATATTAACATCAATGGAGAGTACATGAAATTGAGGCAATCTATAGGGAAGTTTGTCAAGTCATAGACTTCAATAGGCTGTAATGGTAGTTCTTATGGCAGAATTGCTTGAGGACCGAAGCACTATGCTCAATGACCTCAAGAGCGCCTCCCGACGGATAGCTTATATATATATAAAACTGCAAAAAGTGTATATCAGTATTTATATTTTGAACTTAGGCTAGTCTTTGAAAAATAACCCTGTATACAATATGTAACAAAAACCCTGTGGTTCCCGTTAAGTACGTTATCAGGATCATTATTCAAATGTATACAAATAACTTTTTTTTAAAACTCGAAAATATTTTTCTTATTTTATTTAAAAAAAATTGTATGCAAATTGTATGTGGTTTTATTACTTTGCAATGTCTGGGGAGTAAGAGGATTGTCAAAGACCCCGCTTTACTTAGCTTTATCATCAGCTAGTGTTAGTAAGAGGTAATAAAACCACATAAAATTAAAAAAAATTAATAAAAGAAAAAAATATGGTCGGGTTTTTAAAAAAAGTTATTTCTATAGGTTTGAATACTGATCCTGATAACGTACTTAACGGGAACCACAGGGTTTTTGTTACATGTTGTATATTAGTGTATTCTTTGACCAACATTCTTTTTATTTCCTCACTTTCATATTTGGTTACAGGCTTACAGTTAATAAGGGCACGATAGCGTAGTGACTAATGCACTATATGTAACAAGTTCTTACAAGATCTATAAATAATACTTCTAAGCTTCTGACTGTCCATATATAATATACCTCCTTTACAATACAGCAAAAAATCTTTGTATAGGGCTCAGACTATTATAGCAAGATAGATGGCAATGCTGTGTACATTTCAAGTCATGCCAAAGCACATATTCATGCACACATAATTCTTTCTTTATTAGTACTCAAAAGTTCACTGCTGGATTCACACATATGTACCCTAAAACCAAGTGGTAGTTCGAAGCTATTCTATATAATATACTGCTTTAACTTCGGAACTTTGTTAGCGCGATTTAGGCTTCGATGTGTTTCGCTTTTTTTTTTTTCGCTTTCGGATTATCCGAAGTCCGAAGAGAGGGGGAGGACACGGTAATCCTCGAATCCGGCAACTTGCTCTATCATCGGGAGGGCGACCATCTGTCCCAAGGAGGTGTCGGATTTATTGTCCACAAGTCTCTCGTTAACAACGTTGTAAAGATCGGGAGTGTGTCGACGAGGGTTGCGTACCTTATACTCAGAATCACCAAACGGTATTCGCTGAAGGTCATACAGGTTTACGCACCAACCTCGGCACACCCCGATGAGGAGGTGGAGGAAATGTATGAGAATATCTCTAGAGCCATGCATTCCTCCAAAACCCAATATACGGTGTTAATGGGAGACTTCAATGCAAAACTAGGCACAAGAGAGAACGGTGAGCTGAAAGTAGGGAAATTTGGAATAGGGCAACGGAACCCAAGGGGCCAGCAGCTGGCCGACTTCATGGAGAAAGAGGGACTCTTTATGATGAACTCTTTCTTCCAGAAGCGGCCCCACAGGAAGTGGACCTGGTCGAGCCCCGACGGTTCCACAAAAAATGAGATTGACTTCATTATGACGACCAGACGACAACTGTTCAGTGATGTCTCCGTGATCGCGAGGGTGAAAACTGGTAGCGATCACCGAATGGTTAGAGGCACACTGAACCTAAACGTTAAGTTGGAGAGGTCTCGTCTAATGAAGTCAACGCTCCGTCCCCCTCGTGCTCTGTTCCAAAGTCCCGAAACCTTTCAGCTCGAGTTACAAAACCGTTTTCAGTGCCTGGAAGACTGCAATGAAGTGGACGATATGAATGACAAGCTCGTGGAAACTGTCCATGCGGTCGGAGCTAAGTTCTGCAAGACCGGCCGCAGAAGAACACAAAAACTCTCCGATCACACTCTTAATCTCATGGCTGTTAGACGGGAGATGAAGCTACATTCTTCAACAGACTTGACAGCATACAGGCATCTGAACAGACAGATCTCCAAATGCATGCGGCGGGACTTACGCAACTTCAATACAGCTCGTATTGAAGAAGCGATCGAGCGGAACCAAGGCTCCAAAGTCTTTGCCAGAGATCTGTCTGCCAGAAAGAGCCAACTGTCAAAGCTGAAGACAGAATGTGGCAGCATCGTTTCCGGGACACCTGAGATTTTGAGTGAGATTGAGAGGTTCTATGGGCAGCTGTACACATCATCGTTGGAGCCACACGCAAGTGTGAGTAACGATCCAAGAGCGAGTCTCATCCGACACTATTCCGAAGATATCCCGGATGTCAGTCTGAGCGAGATTAGGATGGCTCTCCAGCACCTTAAAAACGGTAAGGCCCCAGGCGAGGATGGAATTACAGCGGAGCTTCTGAAAGCGGGTGGAAGACCGGTACTTGAAGTCCTTCAGAAGCTCTTTAATTCCGTCCTGCATGGTGGCATTACACCGGAGGCGTGGAGCAGAAGTGCGGTGGTCTTGTTCTTCAAGAAAGGTGACAACGCTCTCTTGAAGAACTACAGACCGATTTCCCTTCTGAGCCGCGTCTACGTGCTGTTTTCGAGAGTCATTACGAATCGTCTCGCGCGCAGACTTGACGACTTCCAGCCTCCCGAACAAGCCGGTTTCCGAAAGGGCTTTAGCACCATAGACCACATACATACCCTTCGGCAAGTTGTACAGAAGTCCGAAGAGTACAATTTGCCTCTATGTCTGGCGTATGTGGACTATGAGAAAGCCTTTGATTCCGTCGAAATTTGGGCGGTGCTGCAGTCCCTTCAGCGGTGCCAAGTTGACTGTCGGTATATCGAAGTGTTGAAGTGCTTGTACAGTAGGGCTACGATGGCTATCCGAGTACAGAACCAGAGTACGAAACCTATCCAATTGCAGAGAGGTGTAAGACAGGGTGACGTCATATCCCCGAAACTCTTCACCGCTGCATTGGAAGACGTTTTCAAGCTTCTGGACTGGAAAGGATACGGTATCAACATCAATGGCGAGTACATCACTCACCTTCGATTTGCCGACGATATAGTCCTTATGGCAGAATCGCTGGAGGACCTAAGCACTATGCTCAATGACCTCAATAGTGTTTCCCAACGGATAGGTCTTAAGATGAACATGGACAAAACAAAGATCATGTTTAATGTCCATGTCACACCTATGCCGGTAGTTGTTGGGAGCACTAAGCTCGAAGTTGTTGACGAGTATGTTTACCTGGGACAAATAGTCCGACTAGGTAAGTCCAACTTCGACCGAGAGGTCAATCGACGGATTCAACTCGGCTGGGCAGCGTTCGGGAAGCTACGACACATATTCTCGTCAGACATACCTCAAAACCTTAAAACGAAATTGTACAACCAGTGCGTGTTGCCAGTGATGACTTACGGAACTGAGACGTGGTCCTTCACTGCTGGCCGTATGAGGAAGCTCAAGGTCGCTCAGCGAGCTATGGAGAGGGCTATGCTCGGAGTTTCTCTGCGTGATAAACTTAGGAATGAGGATATCCGCAGTAGAACCAGAGTTACCGACATAGCCCAACGGATTAGTAAGCTGAAGTGGCAGTGGGCCGGCCATATAGCTCGAAGAACCGACAACCGATGGGGAAGAAAGGTTCTCGAGTGGCAGCCTCGTACCGGTAGGCGAAGTGTAGGGCGTCCCCCCACGAGATGGAGTGACGACCTGGTAAGACATGCAGGAAGTCGATGGATGCAGGTGGCTCAGGACCGTGCTCTGTGGCATTCTTTGGGGGAGGCCTATGTTCAGCAGTGGACTTGTGAAGGGCTGTAATGATGATGATGATGATGTGTTTCGCTTGCGGCGCGACGACAGCGCCGCCACAGTTGCACATATTTTTAGATGTATATGTTTGTGATTGCATGTTCTTACATGCATCGCAAAAAATTCGCGCAGCAATTCGCTTTTATTTTAACAGTGGTAGAGCTAAGCGGTAGCTTTTGCTGTCGCACGGATGGGCCAACTCGAACCGGGGTGGTACCACGACCTCACAGAATACCAGCGTGAAGTAGAGGTTTACCTCTGCGTTGCGCTTGGTGAGTGCAGGTGGCCGGAGGCCCAATTCCCCCCCCCCCCCCACCCATCAACATGGTAGTGAAATTAAATAAAAGACTACCCCAGGAGGGTACCAGCACCCTTGGAGAATCCCTCGCTGAGCATCCACGACCAAACTACTTCACTCCTGAGCGTGGGTGCTCAGGCTGCCCCGCGTATTCTGGGGGTGGGCAAAATTCCGCTCGCGACTAATGCTGCTCGGGGCAAGCGGAGCAATACAACCAAGGCGACCCCTGTCACGCTATCCGTGAATTTTTGCAACATCAGCGGACTTCATTCCAACCTTAACGCTGTCCATTACCATCTAGACACAGCGAAGCCGGCCTTGCTCTTTTTAACCGAGACTCAGGTGTCCTCTCCGGCTGATACTTCATATCTCTCCTACCCGGGGTACAAATTGGAACACTCCTTTGTGCCCCGGGCTGGAGTTTGCGTATACGTCAGAGAGGACATCTGTTTTCGACGCCTCGGCAGTCTTGAAGGTACGGACCTGTCCATCTTATGGCTGCGCGTAGACAGCGACGACCATCCCCGCGTCTACGGGTGCCTCTATAGGTCCCATAGCGGTAATGCCGACACAGACCGACTCATCGACCACGTCCAAATGGCTGTAGGCTCCGTGCTACAACAGGTCCCATCCGCAGAGATCGTGATACTCGGTGATTTTAACGCCCACCACGCTGAATGGCTTGGTTCTCGTTTAACCGATCATGCGGGTAGATCTGTCTATGACTTTGCTTTGGCATATGGTCTAACACAACTGGTTACTTCGCCTACGCGGATCCCAGATGTGGAAGACCATGTACCTTCCCTGTTGGACCTTCTGCTGACCTCTCATCCGGACGGCTATCAGGTCTCCGGTCTTCGGTGGCCCTCTGGGCTCTTCGGACCATTGTCTGATCCGGAGTACGGTGCCCCTCACGCTCCAATCGCAGTTGCGATCTGCAGCTTGCCGCCGTGTTTGGCACTATAGGTCAGCTGATTGGGACGGAATGCGGTCTTTTTTTGCATCGTACCCTTGAGGGCGGGTTTGCTTCTCGCTGGAAGATCCCATCGTTGTTGCCGATTCTGTTGCTGATGTGGTACTTCAGGGTATGGAACTTTTTATTCCATCCTCTGTGGTGCACATCGGAGGCAGATCCCAGCATGGTTTGGTCGCTCCTGTAAAATAGCATCACGCTATAAGTAGGAGTGCTACCAGGCCTGGGCTGACGCATCAACATCTCGGGATGTAAACACCAGCGCACTTAAAAAGAAGTATAATTCCGCCTCCAGGTCCTTCAAAAGCGTCATTGCCAAGGCAAGGTCTGAGCACATCGGCAGAATTGGCGAGAAACTAGTTCGCCTTCCTTCGGGAACCCGTGCATTCTGGTCTCTCGCCAAGGCTGTCCAAGGGAACTTCTGTCAGCCATCTCTTCCATCTCTGCACAGGGAGGACGACTCACTGGCCCATGCCGCAAAGGAGAAAGCTGATCTGTTGAGCTCTCTTTTTGCGTCCAACTCGACTCTAGATGACGGGGGGGAACACACCGCCGACCATCCCGCGATGTAAGTGCTCCATGCCGGATGTGCGGTTTACACAGCGCTCGGTTCGCAAAGCACTCCTCTCCCTGGAAGTCAGCAAGTCGAGTGGGCCTGATGGAGTCCCTCCCATTGTGCTGAAGACGTGTGCCCCGGAGTTGGCACTGGTTTTAACGCGTCTTTTCCGATACTCCCACTCCCAAGGCGTAGTCCCGAATTCATGGAAGACAGCTTTGGTCCACCCGATCCCTAAAAAGGCGACCGCTCAGACCCGTCCAACTACAGGCCTATTGCCATCACCTCCTTGTTCTCCAAAATAATGGAATCCATTATAAACTGCCAGCTCATGAGGTACCTTGAGGATCACCAGCTGATTAGTGACCGCCAGTACGGTTTTCGTCGAGGTCGATCAGCTGGTGATCTTCTAGTCTATCTGACTCATAGATGGGCGGAGGCAGTAGAGTCCAAGGGGGAAGCATTGGCCGTTAGTTTGGACATAGCGAAGGCCTTCGATCGGGTCTGGCACAAAGCGCTTCTTTCGAAGCTTCCTTCCTATGGGCTTCCCGAGAAATTGTGCAAATGGATCACCAGTTTCCTTGCTGATCGGAGCATCAAGGTCGTAGTAGACGGTGCATGCTCTGATTTCAAGCGCGTTTACCGCTAAAAAGAACCCCTTTGTCGTATCTCAGTTTCAAGGCACTCCCCTTGCTGCCTCAGCTAGTATCGGAATCCTTGGCGTCGACATATCGAATAGTGTGCAATTTCGTGGTCACTTGGAAGGGAAGGCCAAATTGGCCTCTAAAAAGCTTGGCGTGCTCAGCAGAGCGAGACAGTATTTCATGCCGGCACATCGCTTGCAACTTTACAAAGCGCAAGTTCGGCCCCACATGGAATACTGTTCTCATCTCTGGGCCGGGGCACCCCAGTGCCAGCTCCTTCCACTTGACCGCATCCAGCGCAGAGCGGTTCGAATCGTCAACGACCGAGTTCTTTCTGATCGGCTCGATACACTGGCACTGTATTTTATCGCAACTATCACGGGGAGTGCTCTGAGGAAATGTTCGGACTAATTCCAGCCGCTCAATTTCACCATCGCACATCGCGACAAAACTCGCGTTACCATCCATACCATCTGGATGATTGGCGGTCCACCACTGTGCGATTTAGAAGAAGTTTTCTCCCTCGCACAACTTCCTTGTGGAATCAATTACCACCAGCGAATTTTCCGGACCGATACGACTTAGGAACCTTCAAGAAAAGAGCTTACACCTTTCTAAAAGGCCGGCAACGCATCTGCAATTCCCCTGGTGTTGCGGTTGTTCATGGGTGGCGGTAGTCACTTACCATCAGGTGAGCCGCATGCACGTTTGCCCCCTCTTCTATAAAAAAAAAATTCTTTGTTTGTTGGTCTGAGGTATAGGAGTAAGGTTCGAGTAGTTTTCTAAAAATATAGTTTTGAGGTATTATATTGATGTATTATTTTTTAGAGTGACTACCATGTCCCTCTAAGGCCAGAAGAATCATCTCTGGAAATCTTTGATGCAATAGTTGAGGCTGCCACTTATTATCTAAAGGAAGAGATCATGAACACTATCAGGAAATATCTGACCAACTTGAAGCTCGTCAAATATACTATAAGTGAAGATTTGCAGGTAAAAAACTATGTAATATGCTTGCTAACTTAATTCAAATTCAATAGAAACTTTTAATAATTATTTGAGCCATGCTGCAGCTATAATAAGGTTGTAGCACGAATGGGTCGACTCGACCGAGGTAAGACCACGCTCTCACAGAATATCAGCGTCAAATGCAACTTAATGCTGTGTTTAGTCATATGGTGAGTGTAGAGAACCGGAGACCCTTTTTATTGGAAACGAGGCATTCCATCTTATTCCTCAGAAGTGACTACGCATCTGCATTTTGATTCTTAATCTAGTATAAATGTAGATGTGTGGGCCACAGCATCCACTTACCATCGGGACGGAATGGGAGTGATGGATTGTGTATCGCCGTCACCACACAATACTAGCGTTATATAACCCGCTAATAAATAATAATAGCGTTATATAACGCGCTGAGTAATATGTGTCGATTAGAATAAGAAATGGAATGTATTATTTCACACATAGCAAGTGTAAAATCACAGATCGCTAAGCTGCTTCAGTGAAATTCTTAACTATCGAACGGGAATTGTTGTAGATGAATTGCTCATAGTCGCTTCCTGGAAAAGAGTTCGCTATCCCGTTCCCAAAATAATTAATTTACCGATCGGCATTGCATGCTTTCATACCCAATAAGAGACATGTAGAATATTTTCAATCCAGGTCATTAAAACATTCACCTATCATCTGAGAAATACTAGAACACTCCCGAGTAACTAGAAGTCGAAACGAGAAAAAGCCTTTTGTGCGTAGACATAAGGTTGTGTTTTGCTTGCCTCAATGTTTTAGCATTGTCTATACTTACGCCCACACATATTAACTTGACAGGGAACATTGACCTTTTTAATTTAGACCTAAATACTGATTTCCCATGTATCGATGTAATTTCTAATGGAAAGTCAAGCTTCAGGAACATTCTTGTGACTAAAAATTTGTAATTTTATTATCCTGTTTCAGTTTGTCGAAGATGACTTCATTGAAATGCGAAGTCAGTCCGATGCAGAAAACCCAGTTACAGCAGACGACTTACACAGACTTTTAGTTTTAGCGAGGCTGGTTAGTCTCTCTCGTGGATACGATACTTTAAACAAGGAGTGCTGGGACATCACAAGGAAGATGGAATGTGAACGGTTGAACCGGATAAAGAACAGAGTGGCTCCTACATTTTAAATATATGAATAAATGATTTTTTACATGCTAAGTTTTTGTTCAAATCCAATATAAGTTTTGTATATCAAAAATTGTGTTACTTATGTACGCATGTAGTAAGTTATACTTCTTTAGCGCGTAAAAAAATAACTTTAATGACTTTAGCAAAACAAAAAACTTAGAGACAATTACCCACTGAACTTGTCGCTTTGAGGTGTCAGTGTGCGCGCGCATCGTAAAATCACACCAAAAGAAGTATAACTTCAAAGTATGTAAAATGCATAATTCTGCGTTGACGCCACAAAGGTGCGAATCTCAAATGTTCAAAAAATTACAGGAGAGCAAAAAACATTTATTATTCTCCGATTACTAGTTTTTTTTTTCATCAGAAAATTAATGTTATTTGTAGTTATATGATTATTATTACATGGGGTATCTATAAAGTTTTCTCATCTGGTTGGGCTATATAAATATATATATGAAAAAAATATGTTTTTTTTATATGATAGGGTGACAAACGAGCACACAGTACACCTGATGGTAAGTGGTTACTGTGGCCCATAGACATCTACATTTATCCTCGTTTGCGAATCAATATGCAGATGCGTTGTCACCCGTGAGGACTAAGATGAAATGCCGCCTCTTTTCCAGTAAAAAGGGTCGCCGGTTCCCTACACTCACCATACGAAACATAGCAGTGTTAAACTGCTACTATACGCTGGTATTCTGTGAGAGCGTGGTGCTTCCCCGGTCGAGGACCCACACGTGCTACAACTATACTACTAATATAGCTGCAGTATGGCTCTACCACGTACAAAAAGTTTTGTCAATTATATAAAAAAATAATTTTCAATATATTACATCTTCGCGTATCAAAAACGACGTCGCGTTAACATTTTGTTTAGGAATAATTGTCTAGTTAAAGTAAGTCAAAAAGTAGAAATTATTTTGAAATATATTGTTCAAATAAAGATAAGCTTAAGTCCGAGGAGGGGAGCGCGCCAGTCGCCAAGTCCAGATATTTTGTTCGTTTATCTGTTTCGCATTCACGAGGTTCTCGTCATACGCAATGGTAATATCGACCAAAAATATCCTTGACTGTGCCCGGTCCATCAGCACAATATCAGGCTTATTCGCAAGAATAGTCCTGTCTGTGATGGAGGCAGGCGGAGGCTGCACACTTCGCGGTTATGCATGGTAAGCGCGCTTAAAAAGCCACGCCCACCATGTTTCCGTGGCAAGTACAGCCTCATAATCGACGATCTCGGGTGATGCATCCTATGGGACGTCATAGTAGTGCGGACTTTCTATCCAGGGCGTTAAGTTCAGTTTGAGTCCACCTAAGTATGCCAAAGGTATACATAAGACTACAGGCATGACCCAACCGTTATATGCGTGTGTCTTATTCACACCGTACAAAAGACTGTTAAGCACTTTGGTAAAGCGTGCATAAAACACATCGCAAACTCACTGCTTCATACCCGCCTCATTGATACCGATGTTCTGTGACGTACTCAGGTATCGGTACGTTTCAGCCTCTGAAAATGTCCTTATGTTGATGGGCATAGATAAGTCTATGCCCTCAGAGTTAGCAACGCTTCTCCTTTCAACATGGAGGACCGCACACTTATCCGTCCCAGCTCCATTCTAATAGAATTACTAAAATCACAAGTGATGTTTAGCAATTCTATAAGATGGGAGCGACTGGAGGCGAATAACTTTAGATCATTCATGTAGAAGAGATGGGTCACTTTGTAACTCCTTTCCGAAGCTGAAATCCCCTCCCGGAGTCCTTCAGTAAAGTACTGAGAGGGTTCATGAAGAAGCAAAACTAGATTGGACTCAAACAATCGCCCTGGAAGATATCCCTTCTTATCCTTATGTGGCTTTTCGCATCCGTCACACCGTCCTAGATGACAAAGGATTGTACTCCACTGCCCGAGGAAGTCTAACTATACAGTCAACCTTGTACAGCTCGAGGATCTTCTTTAGCCATATATGGGGTACCGAGTCGAGTGCCTTTCTATAGTCTATCCAGGCGGCGAAGTTCCGACGGTTGCGTTTAACCACTTTGCCAATGGAAGCGTCAATGAGGAGTGGTTCCTTGGTTCCACGACCACCGTCCCGACATCCATTCTGAGCACGCGATATCACATGATCTAAATCCAGGTGACGAATGATTCGCGTACTAAAATCTGCTCCACGCTAAAGAAGCATATTCTAGGTTGTAACTTGGTTTGCGGAAGCCTGAAATAGCGTTACGTTTCAGGAATCCGAACATTTTATTTCATAAGCATCATTGCAACCGTTTACAAGTCCACTGCTGAACATAGGCCTCCCCCAAGGGACGCCACAAAGCACAGTTCTAAGCCAACTGCATATCCAGGTCGTCACTTCATCACCAGTATTAATGAAGAGACTTGAGGTTGACCGTGACATTATTATTCTGACAGAAAGCTGGCTTGGTTCTAATCCCTTTTTGCCTATTATAAATGGATATAGGAGTCATGCAACAACAAAACATGCATTGCAAAATGATGGAATCGTGGTATATGTCAAATCCGATATCAAAATTACTTTTGAAGAACCGACATTTCCAGAAGAAAATTGTCTTATTATGAAGCTCGGTCTTGAAATTGCAATTATAGCGATATACCGTTCACCATCGTACCGTAATTTAGACTCCTTTAATATGTATCTTAATTGTATTTTGTCGAACTTATCAACTTTTAAAAATATATCTATTATAGGTGACTTAAATATAGATATTAGACCAGAAAATAGAGATAAGAGGGCTAATGATTATCTTGATCTTTGTGCTAGCCATAGCTTATTACCTGCCCACTCTTGTCCAACAAGACAAAATAAAACATGTCTCGACCATGTTTTGCTCAAAACAAAAAAGCAGCACCTACATTGGTGATTACTTCTACATTAACTGACCATCAAACAGTACTCCTGTGCTTAAATAAAAATGAAATTAAAAAGTCCTTTTTAAAACACACAACCAAATTAAATAATGAAGCATTTCTTACGGATATAGTTAATATAGATTTTGAACCAATTTATAGATCATATGATGCTAACTTTTGCATAGAATTTTTAGTTACAACTTTAAAAACGGTGATAGAACAAAATACAGTAATAATTCAAACATCTAGGCGATTAAAAAACATTAAACCATGGATTACCCCTGGCCTAATACGATGTATGCGTAATAGGGACCGAATGCATATGAAACTAAAACGCTCACCAGAAAACAATAATTAAACTCACATATACATTATACACGATACAGAAATCATTGCAATAATTTACTAAAAAAACTTAAAAGAGAGTGTGGCGGCGCTGTCGACGCCACCACAAGCGAAACACATCGAAGCCTAAATCGCGCTAACAAAGTTCCGAAATTAGAGCAGTATATATAGAATAATTCAATTCGATTGGAAACGACGCCGTTTCAAAATCAATAAAAATATTCCACCAATACGTATGTTAGAGACCACAGTTCCCTGGCATACGTCTGCTAAATATTTAGGTGCACAAGGCTTACTTTCGAGCCTCATATTAAAAGAGTAACCCGTCTAGCACGGTTCTATCTAGGTAGGCTTAACAGTATATTAGGTCGACATAGTAAAATGTCTCTAAGAAATAAGCGAACCCTTTATAAGGTTTGTATACGACCGGTAATGTCTTACGCGGCCCCTATTTTTGCACACGCTAATTCTAAAATTATAAACGAACTTCAAACAGTCCAAAATCACTTCTGTCGTCGAGCTACGAACGCAAGGTGCGTTCGTAGCTAATTCTAAAATTATAAACGAACTTCAAACAGTCCAAAATCACTTCTGTCGTCGAGCTACGAACGCACCTTGGTACGTCCGTAATGCCGACCTTCATCGGGACTTAGAAATCCCAACAATACAACAATTTATTAAAAAACGCTATCGCGTCCGCAGGCCGAGGAACTCCCTCTCGGATCCGCCAAACAAACTTTCAAACGACTTGAACTGCCTCCTGGCGGCTCAGTCAAATTCATAATTAATTTTTATTCATAATTAAATTGCCTTCGTAGGCACTCCCTCAGCGGCTTATAGCCGCCTGCGCCCTCTTTTCCCAAAAGAGGGTCGCTTTCGATACGGCATGAGAAGCTTTAAACAGATGGTTGTCAGTCCCCAAAGGCGGTTTTTAGGGGGTATCACTTAGGCTCCCCGGTTAAGCGTGAGTCCCCCATAGCCACGATGGATAGCCTATCGTGGTATGCGTAATGCATTTTCCGCCTCCCTACGTAAAGGGATCCAATTGCTTCGGGCGCAAAAAAAAAAGTTACCATTCGGAGCGTTGGCCGCTCCCCGGGCAGAACACCTTACCCGGCGGGAGATCTCCCCTTTTCCTTCCACCCACCACAAGAGTATGAGAAAAGACAATTAGAATTAGCAGGTAAAAACAATAAAAGATATGGGGAGCCAATAAAAGTATAACACACACGTCTAAACAGAAATCGTTGTCTCAAGAATTATTGGGAACTGGGTTTATCAAAGACTCTTTAGTGTTAATAATTTCTTTGCAAATGTAGGGGAAAAAAATCATATAAAAAATTGATATCAGCAATTGCATTATATAAAAACAAGAATTATTACAAATTAACCTTGACACAAGAAGAGACTCGCTTGTATTATTATCTACTGAAGTTGAAGAAGTAGAACGTATTATAATAAATTTAAAACAAAATGTACATTTGGTTGGGATAAAATCTCTAAAAACTTTCTTAAAAAATTTCGGCATATGCTAATCCCACCATTGAATTATATCTTTAATCTATGTCTCACGAACGGAATTTTCCCTACCTATATATCTATAATTCACCTGATATATAAATCTGGAGATAGAGACTGTGTGAATAATGTGTCACACCAACATGTTATAATTTGACAATAAAACCTATATAGCTTTAAAGCTATGTTTATGAAAATAACAATAGTTTTTGTTTCATCCAAATTGGTGCAGAAATACGAAAGTTA